CTCCGAACCTCATTTTTGCCCATCTATAAAACTTTGACAACACGACCTCCCTCACTAGGTTATCCGGAAGCTATTAATGGAAATAATCCACATATAAGTACTTGGCGCATGGTAACCACCCAACACATGGTAGCTACTATAAATATTATTGTGATGATTAACAAAACAGGGTTCACAGGTAAAAGTGAACTGAAAACTAGGGCTTGCAAGATGGGTGCTCGGGGTTCAAGCGGGGGCTGACTCAGCCAGCCTTTCTGAAGTCTCAGGGTGCTGAGGAAGCCACCAGGCACCCCTCAGGTCTGTCTGCTGCATTCCTGGGGGCAGAGAGCTGGATGCGCTGACCTAATCTACAGGCGTCACGACAACCAAGGAAGGAGCCCAGACTACGGGAAGATCTGTGGGTTGGCCAAAGAATGGAGACCTTGAACATCGATTATGGAAGTCCATGAGGGGCAGGGGCATGATGAAATTAGTACCATAGGAGGATCATTCTGGCAGGATCAAAGGAGGGACAGAGGCAGAGAGGCCAATTAGGACAGCAGCTGTTGCAATATCTGGGATGAGGACTCAGATCAGGGAAGTAGCAGCAAGAATGTGAAGTCAGAAAAGTGGCTAGGACCTTGTCCAAGGAGGACCCATCCCCTAGCCCCACCCCCAGAGAGCAGTGAAGAAGCTCAGTGTCTGCAGACAAGTTCCCACGGCTCACTCCGGCCCACCTTAAGAATCAAGGCCCTCAGCCAACCTTAGCATCTCCTCCTCAGCCCCACAGGAGCCTCAGCCATCGCAGAAAAAAGACTGGACACAACAGGTGTCTGGCTGGTGTCACACCCAGCCAGAGCCAGAAGGGGACAGTCTCCCTGTGGCTGCCACAATCAGTGGCTTTGTGAAGTGCCCAATTCAAGAAGCACTACCTTTTGAAAGATGGGAGGTCCACGCCTAGGTATATACCCAGAAGAGTTGAAAACAGGTGTTCAAACAAAAACTTATAAACAACTGTTCATAGCACCATTATTCATAAAAACCACAAGGTAGAAACAACCCAACGTCCATCAGTCGATGAATAGATAAACAAAATCTGGCATATTCACACAATGGAATATTATTCAACCATAAAAAGAAAAGAAGATACACTCTACAACATGGATGAACCTTGAAAACATCATGCTGACCGGGCGTGGTGGCTCACGCCTGTAATCCTAGCACTCTTGGAGGCCGAGGCGGGCGGATTGTTTGAGCTCAGGAGTTCGAGACCAGCCTGAGCAAGAGACCAGCCTGAGCAAGAGTGAGATTCCCGTCTCTACTAAAAAAAAAATAGAAAGAAATTGGCTGGACAACTAAAAATATATAGACAAAATTAGCCAGGCATGGTGGCACATGCCTGTAGTCCCAACTACTCGGGAGGCTGAGGCAGTAGCATCGCTTGAGCCCAGGAGTCTGAGGTTGTCGTGAGCTAGGCTAACGCCACGGTACTCACTCTAGCCAGGGCAACAGAGTGAGACTCTGTCTCAATAAAAAAAAAAAAAGGAAAACATCATGCTAAGTAAGAGAAGACAGACACAAAGGACATACATTGTATTATTCCATTTACATGAAATGTCCTGAGTAGGCAAATCCACAGAGACAGAGAGTAGATTAGCGGTTGCCAGGGACTTGGGGGAGGGGAGATGGGAGTGACTGCTCGATGGGCGTGGGGTTTCCTTTTGGGGTGGTGAAATACTCTGGAATTAGATAAAGGTGGTGGTTGTACAACATTGTAAATGTGCTAAATGCCACCGAATTATACACTTCAAAATGGTTAAAATGGTGAATTTTAGATTAAGTAAATTCTACCACAATCAAAAAAAAAAGATGGGCGGTGGCCCATCCAATCCCCATCTGTGGGTGACCACTGAGGCTGAATAAGTCTCCCCAGTGGCTTTCCTAGTTGCCTGTCCCTCGACACTTAGCTCTGAGCAGGCAGGCACTGGGAAAGAGCTGGGAAAGGAGGAAAATCTTTATTCTCTGTATCTTTCTCCACGAAGCACGACCCCACTGCCCTAGTCACTCTGCCCCTCACTGCAAATACACCTACACGCACCTGATCCCCTCCAAGCCTTTGCTTGTTCCCTCCATATCCAGCTCAAATTCTTGCCTGATGCCCCTTTTCTGATCCCTGCCTACATATCTGGGGTTTCAACAGTCTAACTGGCCAGGCGCAGTGGCTCACACCTGTAATCCTAGCACTCTGGGAGGCCGAGGCGGGAGGATTGCTTGAGGTCAGGAGTTTGAGATTAGCCTGAGCAAGAGCAAGACCCCGTCCCCACTAAAAACAGAAAAAAATTAGCCAGCCGTGGTGGCGTGTGCTTGTAGTCCCAGCTACTCAGGAGGCTGAGGCAGGAGGATCGCTTGAGCCCAGGAGTTTGAGGTTGCTGTGAACTAGGCTGATGCCACGGCACTCTAGCCCGGGCAACAGAGTGAGACTCTTGTCTCAAAAAAAAAAAAAAAAAATAGTCTAACCAAGCAAATATTCGATTCCATTCACTCTCTCAGCCTTGCTTTTTGAATAGATCTCCAACCTGTGAAAGCCCGGGATGTCAAGAGCCCTCACCTTTAGATTTAGAAAGGTACAATTACTGGAGTCTCCTCTGGGTTTCCATAGACTCCAGGATGGAGCAGAGTCTTCTCAAGGAGGCAGTCTATGCATTCGAAAGCACACTAAGTCAACTCACTGGCCCCCAGCTAAGCCCAGCCTCTGAAGGCCCTGAAGGACAGAGCCAAGTTTTGCCACTTTAATTTGGGCGAATCACTACCCTTTTCCTTCATTCTTCTCCTTTGCAAGGGAGGAAGTTAAACTCAGTGATGTTCATGGGTTCCTCCATCATCAGGAATCAGATTGGAATGCTTAGAAACAGTCTTTATACATGCTAACACTGATAGTTTATTTCTGATTATAAAAATAATACTTGCTTATTATAAAAATTTTAGAAAAGAACAAAACAAAAAAAGAAAAAATTTTCATATGATACCATTACCCACAGGAAACCATTGTTAACCTTTTGGAAACTTTCCTTACTAGCTTTTTTGTTTGTTTTGTTTTTGTTGGTGTTGGGTGTTTTGTTTTGTTTTGTTTTGAGTCAGAGTCTTGCTCTGTCATCCAGGCTCAAGTGCAGGCTGGAGTGCAGTGGCGCAATTAGAGCTCACTGCAGCCTCGAACTCCTAGGCTAAAACGATCCTTCTGTCTCAACTTCCCAAGTAGCTGGGACTACAGGTATGCACCACCACGCCTGGCTATTTTTTTTTTTAGCAATGGGGTCTCTCTCTATGTTGCCTAGGCTGGTTTTGAACTCCTGGCCTTGGGCGATCCTCCCGCCTTGGCCTTTCAAATTGCTGGAATAATAGACACAAGCCACCTCACCTAGCCTCATATAATTGTTGTAAACAAAATTGGCATCATACAGATTTTACAATGCTGTATTCTGTCATTATGCCATAAGTATTTTCCCAAGTCATTATATATTCTTCAAAAATATAATTTTAATGACTGCATAGTACTCCATCGAGAGTATATGCCATGATTACTGAGCATTTAAATTGTTTCCTGCCATAAATAACACTGCCATGAACATCCTAGTGCTATAAGTATTTGACTACATCTCCATTTCCTTAGGATTAATTCTTGTAGGTAGAATTACAAGGTCATCAAACTGATATTTTAAAAGGGTCTTAACATGTATTGTCATATTAATTTCCAAGAAAACACAACAAACCAATTGATTTTCCTGAGCCAAGTGAGAGCCGAAGTTCTAAAGGAGTTGGAGTTAGAATGCAAGAGAGTGGTTCTGTCTCTCCTCCTCTCCCCTGGTCTTAACCATCCAGCAAAAGAGCGGACAGGATTCCAAATCAGAAAATACGGGTCTGCAGCCTAGCTTCGCCTCTCACTGCCTTTGGGAACCTGAAACAAGCCTTGGTTCTCCTCACCTGTAAAATGGGTATGATTAGCTCTGCTCTGCTAACTACCTAGGGCAATTTTCTGCTCCCTGAAAAGGTGTTTGTGAAAATTCTTTGCAAGTGTTGATGTTTTGCAGTTAAAGGGTATTATTACTATTGTCCTTCTCATACCCTGGGGGTCTGAGAAAATGAGGTGTTCTCTGTGAAAGGGCTTCCCTTCCTGGCTTTTAACCATCAAAATGCCCCAGGACAAGTGCCACTGGTTCTGAGGTGACAGAAAAGTAGATTCCTGAAGGGAATTAGTAGGGTCTGAGAGCCCAGGAAGACCGAGCAGTGTCTTCCAAAAGTCAGACACAGCGATGGAAGCTTCGAGACCTGGGGCTGGGCCTAGGGCCACCCTGAGGGTGCTAGGTGGATCTGGGGACCTGGAGAGCAAAGACCCTCCCGGTAAATGTCCCTCCGTTTCAAGGCTTCCAGCCTCTCCTTTCTAGGGTTCTGACTGGATCTCTGATTTTGAGGGGAACTGCAAACCAAGGTGATTCAAGGGATTTAAAACTATAGAGGACCCCAGGAACCATCAGCTCTGGCCCCTTCTTCCAGGCTGCTACAAGTCAGTCCTGGATGTTTAAGACCCTCCCATTGGAAATGCAACTAGTGCTTCTAGCCTCACCTCACCAGCCCCAGGCGGATGAAAAGGAGATCGTGGCGCCTCCTTGAGAAGCTCAGCTGGACGACCTGAGCTTCCCTCCACACTCCCTACTCCCCTGTCCACCCGGCAGATGTCCTTCCCCACCTCTTCATGCTCGCCTGGCGTCAGGGCCTGAGGGGACTCCAGTGACGTTCCTAGTGCTGGCAGGAAGAACTGCGCAGACCCCATGAGCGCCATCCTGCTCGGTTTTCACCACCACCACCGGCAGCCCTCCACCCCCCGCCCATCTCCACGGCCGGATGTGCATCTCAGTCTCCAGATAAGCATAACAGGTGGCAGCTGCCCGTCCTCCCCAACCACACCTCCATGCCCCTCCACCTGCGCCCCAGTCCTCCAGCTGCGCCCGGCCGGCCGCGAAGCCTACCTTTGAGGTTCTGGGAGTGGCCCCGCGGCGCCCGGCTCGGGTTTCCTCGGGGCAGAGAGGGGATACTGGAGAAGTTGTTACCCATGGCATCTGGCCCCAGGGGTTCGGCGCTGGCGGGGGCCGGCGAGGCCGGGCGGAGCGGAGGTCCTGTGTGCGGGTGTGCGCGCGCGGGTGCGCGCCGCCAGGGGAGGGCCCTGGTGAGGCTGCGGCCGGGGGCGGGCGGGCAGCTGCTCTCCTCCCTAGCTGTGAGCTTCGCGGTCCTCGGCGGGGCCTGCCCGCCGCCGGTGTCCTCGCGCCAGCCGGCTACCTGCCTCCCATTCCCCGCAGCGGGGGTGGAGGCCGCGGGCGGGCCCCTGGGCCGGTGCCGGCGGCGCCCGGGGCTGCCCTCCTCCTCCCGCTGGTGCTCGGGCTCCGGCTGGTGGTGGGCGGCGCGGCGGCTGCGGCGCGCTCCCCCGGGGCCATAGAGTCAGGGCTCCAGGCGCTGGCGCTCAGCAGCTCTGCCTGCCCGGAGGCTCGGCGGCTTGGCGGCCGGCTCGGTCCCCGCCCGCGGGGACGGCCGCTGCGGCGACGTGCGTGGCGCCCTCCCGCCGGTGGGTCTGCATGGAGCGGGGCTCTGTGGAGAGCCGGGCGCGCTGGGCGATGCCGCCGAGGCTGGTCTCCCCCGGCCGCCGCGCTCCCGCCCCCGCCCCCACCGTCGCCGGGATTCCCTCGCTCTGGTTGTTATGGTGACAGCTGCGCCGGTGAATGAGCGTCCTAGTGACAAGCGCGCGCCCGCTCGGCCAGATGTGGCCCCGGGGCGCAACGCGTTCTCGGCTGCCACCAAGTTCTCGGCGCCGCGGGGGGCCCGGGCACGGCGCGGGTGGGGGTAAGATATCAGGCGAAGATTAGGGTTCCAGGGGTTGGCCTTATTCCTCTCACCCAGCAGCGAAACTTGGGCATGAAAACAAGAGGAACAGAACAGCAAGAACGTTGAGCTCCCGGGACGCCAGGGGCGAGGCGAAATAGCCCTAATTTACAGTTTCCCCAGCACCGGGTACAGGGCCTGGCACAGAGTGAAAAGCCCAAGAAAAAAACCTAAATGAGTGAATGGATGATTGAATAAAGGAACTGAGATTAGAGCCCCCAGCACCTGCCCTTCCACTCCCAGTCAGATCTCAGGGGGCCCTAGGGCGAGCGCTCAGAGCAAGAGCGCGGCAGCACCTCACTAGACAGACGGCAGCGCGGGCCTCTGGATGCGTACAGACCAGACCCACAAGACTGGGCCTCTGGTCAAGCCAGAGGAACAGATTTCAGGAACAAACCATCAGAGAACCACCAACTTTGAACTGAGTGGTTCTGTCAGCTATAATGGCCCATGCGTGGGGCCGGGGCTCATGCATCCTCTAGCAGTCAAAGAAGGCTTCCTGGAGGAAGGGGGCTTCATCAAGTGCCCCGTTCAAATGATTCTTCCATCAGTGTAGCTCAACGCTGCTACCAAGAAGTCTGCAGGGGGGGGAAATGAAGTCATTCTCCTCCTGCCTGTACCTAGAATATCTCCTCTCCCAGGCTATCCAGGTAGAAGATGCTCCAAGGTCCCTGCCCCTGCCCAGAAAATCAACCTTGCAGCTCCTCTAGGTCATCTCTAGCTCCCCGATCTGGCTTCAGCAACTCTGATCCAGAGTCCAGTGAAGTCATGGGCAGGCAATGGGCACCTCGCGTCCATCCTCTTCTGGAAGGTTCTTCCCCTAAGTCTTCATGTGACAGCTCCTCGTTATTCAGGCACAGTTCATGTCCTGATCTTCCCTAACCATCCCAACTGAAGAACCCCCACCACTCTGGCACCTTCCATTCCATTATTCTGTTTTATTTTCTTTATAGCATTTATATAGAATTAGTTTAAAAGTAGCCTTTCCACTTGCTCATGTTCTGCCTTCCCCACTAGAACATAAGCTCTGTGAGGGGAAAGCGTAGGTCCATCACATCCACCACGGTGTCCCTAGCCCCTGAGAGAGTGCCTGGCATGTGACAGAGGGAGTCACTGTAGAACGGATGAATGCTGGGAGATGGCCACGCTCCCAGCAAAAAATCGGGTCCCTTAGGTAGGGCTCGTTGCAGGATAAGAAAATAATAGAAAATGGAAAATGATGGAAATAAAAGAATACACAGAGACGAAGGTATAGTTTTATAGATTTATAAAGATTATAGGCAAAGCGGGTACTCAGGGGGCCTTGGATCTCTCCGTCAATCACAAAAGGCCAAGAGTGAAGTTTTACATGGGCATTTATAGGCACAGTGATCGGATGCCAGGGGTAACAGATTTACGTAACAACAGGTAGTTCCTCTTAGGTTAAAAGTTGTTCAAAAGGCTTCTTCAGATCCCTTAACTAATTCTATCTACGTGAACAAATGGTTACAAAATCTTTCAAAGACTAGCCTCTAAGTTCTAAGGTAAATTTATCACTTAACAGAAGGGTTAAACAGAGATATAGTGGCTCCATATTTTCTTTATCTAGTTATTGTGTATTGAAACAGGTAGTCAGGAGTTTAAGCAGGAACGTCCCTTGGGCTAATTGCTTTTAGCCACAGGTGGCTGTCTGTCAGGCGGGCATCCTTTGATCAGCTCTCATCCTGTGGCTCTTAGCAGACCTGCTTTGCTCTTCAAAGCAAGTCTAAACCTCAGGTCTGAGAATTGAGGTGCCATTGTGGGATACAGACAGCTACTGATCTTTCAGAGATGCCCTCCTGAGGTGAAACAGCTTTCGACATGCAAACTAACACATTCACATATTCATTCCTTCAGGGCAAAGCTTGCAAAACTCCTGAGACGTTTCTGTCTCCAATATAGTTATATTAATTTATGGAGCAACAGATGAATCCCCTTGCCTGCCAGTGAAACTCCAGTGAGGTCCCTTGGGAGTAGGGCCTTGTGGACTGCATTTCATTTCCCCCGCTGCCCTCCACCCCACCCCATTCCAGGCCTCACACCCTTAAATGTCTGGGACTCCAGGAGAGCTAGAAATATCAGTGACAGCTGCTTTCTGGAGTCTGGAGGGAAAGACAGCCCCAACCCCAGCCTCCGGCCTCTCTGATGCCCAGGATCACGTGCCCAGCCAGCTGCAGATGGCCCCAGCAGGTCAGGGACTGCTGTCTTATTTATGGGCAGTATCTTCCCAAGGCGCACTCCCAGCTGATGACTCAGGCATCAGAAATCCACGCGCTCTGAGCAGCATCACACTCACACATTTGCACACACACCTCTACGCTATCTCACCCACTGACTTGTACACACGCACGCATCCACACCCACACGCGCATGTACTCCCTGGAATCAGCTGGAATGAAGTCATGGTGAGCAGCTGCCGGGATCAGGCCTTTTACAAGTCAGAATAAATCTGAGGACTCTGCATAGATGAGACAGATTCCCCTTGAGTGTGTGCAAAGTGCGAGGTCCTGGCTAGGATTTGCAGATGGTGGCTGCAGGGAGGCTCGGGGCCCTTCCTGGTGTAGTCCCACCTCTCCCTCCTCCTGGAAAGGCTGCCAAGGCAGGGGCAGGGGGACGGGGATGGCAAGGCCCCAAAGCTAGAGGACCGCAGGGATGTCACAGGCCCCACACGACCTAAACCTGGGGCTGTGGGCAAAGCAGGGGAGAGATGGAGAAGATCAGAGGAAAAGGAGGGAAATGAGGGCCTGAGTCCAGAGGCAGTGAAGGACTCTGCAGCCTGACCCCAGGGAGCCTCAAAGGAAGGTGAGGGGCATGAGGGACAAAGGCAGGGAACAGAGGGCAGCACAGAAATGTCCCCTGACCCAAGAGGGAGGGTTGAGGAGATGATGGGAGCATCAACAAGGCTGGGATCCGGAGGAGAGGGGGAGGGCATCCCGGGCACAAAACTGAAGGAGGTGCTGTCGCTCAAGGTCACGCAGATGCCACCCTTGCATTTGTCCAAGCCTGAGAGTGAGAGCCTCTGACATTTTGCACCCTAGGTCCCCTCCCTAGCCTCACCCTAGTTCTTTCCAGAGAGCTCTGTACTGAGAGAAGGGGACGCCACTGTTAAGTGTCAACTGTGTCTCTGGCCAGGAAGGGACCTAGAGGAGGTGGGTGTGGATGAGAGTGACCCTTCTGAGGGGTCTTGTGCTTCAGAGCAGGGACCCAGTTCAGAGGGCCGGAGAATGCCAGCACCCTTCTCTCCCTGGACTTTGGGCAGAACCTCGAGGCCTTCAAGCCATCCCAGGAGGCTGTGAAGCAGCCTCCATGTGGCCGTGGCCCTCAGGGCCTTCCCAGCCCCATCCCAGAAGGGAGGAGGGAGAAGGAACCTGCCAGGTTGATTCCTAAATGGATAGAGTCACTATCTCGGTGGCTTCAGTGGAAGCTACTAATACCCGCAACGTGGTGCTCCAGCACCTGTCGCCCTGGCAACCCCCCCAACAGTGAGGATTCTGAGTGTAGTATCTGAGGGATGGGTGTCGGTACACTTGTGGCCTTGTGTGTGCCGGAGTGGGCACTGTGAGTGCTCACACCAGCGTGCAGGAGAGGGAGGACCTCAGCAGGGACCTCCACCATCCTCTCCTCTCCCCCTCTCCCCTGCCCTTCCTTCTCTGCTTCTCCCCGCCCTTGTCACTTTCCCTCTGCGCTGTCTGTCTGCTCTTCCTGCCTGGTTCGCCTCCCCCTACCCCTTCTTTCTCACCCTCCACAGCTCTCAGGTCAGTTCAAATCTTGAAGAGTCACCGTGCTGGTAAAATAATAAAATATTTGACGGAGAATCTACTTTCTTCCCTCCCTGAGCCCCTACACACGGAGCCCAGAGCCAGCCACAGGGATGACCCCCACCATGCAAGCAAGAGTGGGGGGCCCCTAAACTTGAGACCACCCTAGTCAACAGCATGACCCCTCCCTCCCTGTCAAGAAACTAACCTTAAAATAGGAAACAGCCACAACCATCCCTAGCTAGGTAAGTGGCACCCCTCCCATCCCCGAAGGCCCAGCCCATGGTTAATCAGGCTGTCAGAAAACCTGGTGGGGGGGTCCTGCCTGAACTCCAGGGGGTGCCTGGATACCTTGAAGGGGGTGATCCCTGAGTGCCTGATACACAAGCGATACTCAATAAATATTTATTAAATGAATCAGTGAATCAAGACACAGATGGATTAACCTATCAATACAGCCACACAGCCAGCCCCATAGGGCTTTGCTGGGACCTGTGTTGTCAGTCCCCTTCCCAACAGTACCTTCTCCACTAAGTTCCCTGAAGCCAGGACTTCCCTCTGAAGGATGGAAATCTGTGCTACCCATGTTGGCATGGAATGCGTCCCACACTGCCTTGTTCCCAGGTATTTTGGGATTCAGCTTCACTCTTGGCCCAGTGACCATTTATTGAGCGGCACATGTATGCCTGGCACTGAGTGAGGTGCAGTTTCCTTGCTAGCACCATGGAGCAGCTTGTCCTGTGCTTCAGTCCATTCCAGTCCCAGCTCCCCAGCCTGAGTTCAGAGCTGAACACACAGTGGGTCTCA